GTAGTTATGCAATGTATTAGGGGGAAAATAAGTCCAAATTTTACTTTCTAAAAACTGTTTTTCACAAAATAAAGAATAAAAGAAAAAAATTAATGCCCAAAATTTAATGTTTTGAGTAAAAATATAATAAAAATGATGTTTTTATAATAAAAAAGATCCCTAAAATGGAGTTTCAATCAATTCATTTTTAGACCGGTAAAGTGTAATATCAGGTTTCAGTGTTATACCTTATGAAATCAGTATGCCTAAAAAAACATATTTCTTCTGAACTGGTTAAATGCCACGATTTTGTTCTTGATTTTTCATTTGCAAGGTGATGGTTCATATACTCATCTGCAAAATGGTTAGTTTCAGTAACAACATGAAGCACAAGCAGTTCATCAAAAAATAATTCAAAAAAGATAAATGGGATTGAAACATCCGTTATATCTTTCTTTATTCTTGGAACCTTCGCTTTTGTTTACTTTTTCAAAAAAGTAAACAAAAACGGAGGACACAGAATAAAAAAAATATGTTTTACTCAAACAACAGCAGCCAATATCGCACAGTCATTACTTTCACCGTTTACACACACCCCTCTCTCCAATTTTCTCCCACACTTCTTTGAAATAGTATCCCCTTCGCATACTTTGTCAAGGTCATTGGGGTGTTGCATTCCAAAGCTTTGTGAATAATTTTATGGGTAGCAGTGCAAAGCAAGTGATAGTAGTTTGGAAAGGCGTATATACACTGCTCGATATTGAAAATGCAACAGCAAGAAGGAGTGATCAGAAAGTGATGAAATTTGGAAAAAAGACAGAGACAGCAAGCAGCAATAAGTGATCTATATTTCAAAATGATAGTCAGAATACAGAGCAAGAACGGCATCGGCTCAGTAGGATGTAGGACCAACGCGGACAGCGAAGCACGAAGAAACACGTCTAAGCATAGAGTCAATAAGAGTGCGGATGGTGTCCTGAGGGATGGCTCTCCATTCCCTTTCAACCATTTGCCACAGTTTGTCTTCTGAACGAGGCAGGGGCAGTCTGCAAACAGCATCCAATCACATCCCACACATGTTCAAGGCAAGATGGTTCGTCGAAAAGAAACTGGGCTGGAAAGTCGGGCAGAAACCTCCGAAGAGCAAAAGGAGGGTCTGGCGAGGAAGGCTCAACCAACAGATAATGACGATACAGCTAGGCTGACACCGGAAGTTCAAACTTCCAATGTTGATTGTGTGCAGGAGGCACTTGAGTATATGGATGACTTGCTGGGCATCCTCACACACTATGAGATTCCTAAGAAACCTGCTAAAAGTAGCGACTGTGACTCGATAAACAGAAGCGTGACTCATCTGAGAACACGACGTTTCGCCATTCTGTCATCCACATTGCTCCAGTCCGGCACCATTCTAAACGTTGGCGTCTATGCTGTGCCTTCAATGGCAGTCTTCTTAACGGACGCCGTGAGTGCAGGCTACGTTCAACCAATTTACGGGAAATGATTCTGGTCGACACAGGAACATCCAGGGTATCTTGCACATGCTGCAGAACAGAGGTACAAGTGACTTGTGGAACCGCCACAGCTTGTTGGCGGATGCATCGATCCACACGTGCTGATGTCATTCTGGCTGCACCTGCACCCCTCCTTCTTCCCACATTTCCTTGTTCCAACCATGTTCGCCATAGCCGATGCACCGTGCTTGCATCCATGTGCGTATCAGCTGTGATTTGACATAAGGATCAACCCGCCCTCTGATCACCATACCCCTCGTAAAATTGTCTATCTGCTGGAACTGCCTTCATTGATGGCGGCCTAGCATTCTCTCCTATTACACGTATCCTCTGGGACAAAAACCAACTTTCTTCGATAACCCATCGGGCAGAAATAAAGACACAAATATTGCCCATTCTGCATGTTGCTTCCCTTATATCTTACTTCCTGTGCGTCGGAAAGCTGTGCATTTCACATCATTCGTATAACTCTGTGATGTGCGTCTACTCTAAAATTTGCATAAATTTCTGACCACTCCTTCTTGGTGTTGCATTTTCAACGTCGAGTAGTGTATACACCCGGGGCAGTTAACGCATTGGCTGAGCAAGGCGTATATATACTCCTGTAGCAGTTAGGTGGTTAAAAGATTATGGAATTTGAACTGAGATCCCTAATACAAGACATCCAAATTCATCTTATTGCTTGCATTTTGACTATTAAGCATGGGATGTGGTTGAAAGGATCATTAATAAGACTTCCAGTAACAACAGAGGTGAGATGAAAAAGATTATTTGACAGATATTTCAAGATTTGTTTCCTAAGATTATAAAATTGAATTGTTCTTGCTTCTGAGGTTGTTTGAAGGTTGTGATTGATGCTTAAGATGGCCTTTATGTCACATTTTTAAGGATTACTTTGCTTGTTTCTGGTACCTCAATAAATGTCTAAAATTAGAACTTTTACAGATGTTTTCCCTTAATGCATTTTCCCCACTAATGCTGCTTGCACACCTTGTAGATATTAATTTCAGTAGTGTGGTATTTGGGCAACAATTCTTCTGGTTCATTATTTGAGTGCTGCTTTTTTCAACATTATCACTTCTAACCTTAAACAAATTCCTCGTAAGGTATAATTATCAGAGGAGAAATCTGAGATCTCAGGTAAGTAGAATTTAACATGAGGTATAACCCAAATTCAACAGAACTCCTCCATCAAGTCTCTTTTGACTTTTATATTGGCAAGGCTCTGGGCTTCACTTAATATTACAGAAATGACAGCAGAATGCCCTACCAAAACAATGTGTCAAAAAATCACTGTACTCATTCTTTAAACAAACAGAATGTGAAAACAAACACTATAAAAACATTTAGACAAAAAACAAAAACTTAAAAATGACATATATGTACTATATTTATATTAAGCTCTCCAAGCAGTGATTTCAGTATGTAACTAAAGAAAGTATAATGTGCAAAAAGTTGAATATATTAACTTACTACTATCTTCAACAAGATAGGCAAATGAAACTAGAACACCAAATTCAACTTTGCTAACATGGCCTGGAACAGACAATAATGTTCTTCCTGTAAGTTCTAATTTATCAACCTGCAAATTTTCACATCAATAAATAATTTGAATTTAAAAAATAAATAAATAAATAAATAAATTTAAAAAAAAACTTAAGAACAACACTTAAAAAAAAAAGAGTTAATAATAACCAATTGAAATGGCCCTCTACCAGAACTAATACAGTACAAAGTCCGAAATCCGGGACTCATCGGGACTTCGGCGATTACGGATTTTGGATTTTTTCTGGATATTAGATCATCAGTTTAATCTGTAAGATGGCTGTGAAATTATAAAATTAAAAATATGAAAGTGATTTATGAAATAATGAAGTATTTGATCTAAAGGGTATCAAAAAATTACAACAAAAATCTTAATATATTTGTTACCTTATTAAACTGTCTTTCAATGTAAGTTGTGTAAGTTGATTGTTTTTTGCTACTACTTCTCTTTAATTTGTAGACGGACATAATCTCTTGTTCAATTACATTGTTGAAGTCCTATGATGCTATTTCAAGAATTCTGAATAACTTGTCAATTGAAATTTTTCATTTTAGTAACTTTCTGTCACTTCTTCACTATCGTAGCGAATTTTGGATCTAGAATCATTACTACACATTTCCATTCATTATTGATGATGATCGAGAAGAAGCATTGTCACCAATGAAAAACTCTTTTATATCATCTTCTTTATTACTGCTTCTCCACCTTCTTTACAAAATCCATTAATGGAAAATTTCACCTTTTTTTGCGATCCACCCCTTTAAAAGTAACGGCTATATCATCAATGTAGCTATTCTTCACTATACATATTTGGTCTGCATCGAGCTTGGCGGACTAATGACAAGTTGTTCCGTTAAATTTTATCTTGCTTCTCTCGCGCACTGAGCAATTAAGCCGAATGTATTAGTTCGTTATTATTATACTTATGTCTATTTCTTGCACATGCTTAAGGGTTATCGGAGTTCTGAATAAATAAATTCCCACCATATATTTCATGGAGGTTAGAAAGGAAGGAGTGGCCAAACCGGTACTAGAAGTGAAGCATTGCTTCAAAGCTTTGGTCACCATTAGGTTGTTTTTTGTTTACATTCAGAAGCTCGCTTGACAGTGCTCCAATAGTGTTTCGACACATGACAGTTCCATACAAATCGAAAAACGAGACATTTTCGCACGAAAGAAACATTCATAGTGTGATGGAGATAATAGCAATTTGTATAGTTTAGTGACTTTTATGCAAAAATCACATCTTGGATATTTTTCATAATCAAAACCGCTGTTGTTTGTTATTGAAAAATAACTAACCGCTGTTGTTAGTTATTTTTCGATAACTAACAACAGCGATTTTGATATGAATTTGTTTATAAAATTCTGCTGTTGAACTACAAAAATATAGATTTTAGCAAAAATGTTATTTTAAAAATGAAAATAACTTACGGTCGGTACCTTTAAAATTGCATACATCTTTCGAACAACTTGATAGAGTATCACTCCTTTTTTTTCGTTCCAAACCCAAAATGTTTTAAATAAAATATTTTTTTTTCCACATATCTTTGTAACATGTACTTTTAAAATTTTTAGAGGAGAGGTTTACTGTGCTCATTTAAACTCCTCATTTATTTCTATATCGGAAAACTAACCCCCTTTGGCTATTTATTAGTTATTATTATTTATTATTATCAGAGAATTATTAACTGAGTAATCGATAAAAGAGGTATTGAGTGCTCTGCCAAAAATATTACTAGAAGCTTTGAATTGATGACAATGCATCCTAAAACATGTTTTAAGTCAAAAGTTTGAAATTTGATGGTAAATGTAATATAAAATTATGCACGTTAAAATATTTGTAATTAAAGCACATAGGCAGGGTAAGTTTTATTAAATAGAGAAATTTTTAAGAAAACTTACTTTGAGTGGGTTTAAAAATAATGCATCTAATTTCCATTCAAATATATTTATTATATTAGTAAAATTCAGGTATATGTTACATTAGTGTAATTACTTTACTCGAAAAATATCGTGAATGACACCGAAATTAAAGATTGCCCTTGCCCAAAATGAAAAATGAATATGTAGAGTATTTATGCATGTACTTGCCAAAAAGCATGCATGTCTTTAACCTATGTAAATATTTATAAATTATTTATAAATGTGTTGAAATGAAGGATTTATTCTCAAAACAGGAACGTCTGTGAAGACCTCTACTCTTAAATGTATCTAAAATTATAATGATTATAAAATTATCTAAATATATAATAAAACTTAGCAATGAATTGAAACATAAATGGAAATCCTGCAGCCAAATAGTTATAAAACTATTTAAGCAAGAATTGTTCATACTGGCCCGCAATCTGTCCCCTTTGTGGCATGGTGGGTCAATATATGTCCCACCTAATAATATTTTTTATCGTTAGCCTTTCGTTAGAAATTCTAATCTTTTAAAAATAATTTTTAGTTATTATTTTTTCCGTAGTTACTACTATACCAGTCTTAAGTTAAGCAAAATATTCAAAATAGGTCACAAGCGTGCATCCATGTATCTCGCATTTTTCCATATTTTAAAAAATTTTGGCTACAATTTATGATATGTATGATTTTTTTAATATTGGTATTTTATTTAAAAATCTTAATTGGATTCAATATTTTATAACTTAATTTGCAGTTGAAATAAGTGGGTTCCAATTTGTCCCCACACCACATTTCCGCTCAATGGCCAGCACTCAATTATTTTTTCTTTCTTTTTTCCTTTTTCTGTGTGCGCGCTTTTACTCCGTGTATGCTCTGATGTGCTAAAATGTCGGAAAAAAATTAACACTCAGGAAGCTTGGATTTTTTTGCTGAATTGCCATCCGATTGCGACTCAAATGCTTCAGATGTCGTTTCTGCGTCAGGTGAAATTGAAATCCAAGAGCGACTATGAGGTGAAGTTATGCTGAAGAAGAGAGGGAATAGAGTTATAATTGTTTTCGCTTTTTAAAGACACAGACCCCTCTCTGCATGTGGCATTGTAAATAGGATCGGAAGTATCCCCATTTTAAAGAAGAATTTATGTCAGAGAATATATAGGACTTTTCAGTTAGCGTGCTTAAATTATTGCATAAAATGGAAGGATAAAGATCCGTTTTCTCCTGTCTTGCTTGGAAAAGACACTGAATGAAAGAAATTAAAGAAAAGCGAGGGAAAGACAAAAAAAAAAAAAAAAGTACTGTGCCCAAACAGCTTATTCCATACAATAATAATATGGGATATGTCGACCGATTGATCAACTGACAAATATCTAATAGAACCGCAAAGCACGAAATGGGTTGGCACATGATTTTTTTTTTATTTTTAGATGCGAATATAGTACACACCTTTATTAAGTTGTTCACGAACCTCTATGGTAAAAACATGAAAGATTTTCTCTCAGTTAGAAGGTCTAATGGCACTGCAGGCAGAAAGAGCTGAAAGAAACCTGAAAATCCTCAGTTCAAATAAAAATAAAATCCGTTCGTACAACCGAAAAAAGACTAAAAAATGTAAGTTAAAACGCCAAGGAACGCGCAGGAAAAGATGTGCATATTGCGCTATCGAAAGAAGAACGACAAAATTTGGATGTGGAAACATGTGACGTGCCTCTATGCTTACAAAGAATGAAACAACATGTTTCAAAGTTTCTGAAAAATGATTTTTTTTCAATTTAATCATATATAAATGTTTTTGAATCAAGTGCCAATTTTAAATTTTATTTAGTATCATGTAGCGTATAAATTTAATCTTAAAATAATATCAAGACATATTCTTTTGTTCCTAAAATTTAAAAATATTAAATATTAATATATGCAAAATGTGCATCTGCAAAATTTACAAGTCATTGCAATGCAAAAGTACCCAAAAGCATTTTAGTGTGTTTATTATAATATTTTAGAATGCAGCTTTCTTTGTTTATTCATTCCACATATGATTTTTCTTCCTGCTATACCCAATATGCTATAAGACATGTGCTAGTTGCATGGTGGGGACAAACGGTATCCCACTCCACCGTAAAAATAAAAGCGCAGAATTTTTTTCAAGCCTTAAGGCACTTAGTAAGTCCATCTGACTTATTCTAAGGCATTTTTCAAAGATTAAAATTATTTTAAATATCGTGTCGCAAAGGGTTTAAAAGGTACATTCTATGAGATGCCTACTAGGTACGTAGGTACTTAGGTAGGATAAGTAATTAAAAGAATTATTCCCCTTACATTTATAACTCAGTTACAAGTTTTAAATAATATTTTTAAAAAAAAAACTTTATTTTATTCCCTTTCAGAAATATCAGAGAAAAAATACTATTTAAAGTATTCCTATTAAAATAAAAAGGTGTTCTAATTTGAAATGGACCGAATAAATAATAATTGAATTAATAGTGTTGCATTTAAAAGATGCCTCAGAAGCTGAAATATGCGTATTAGAAAGTACTTAGGAAGAAGCTCAAATAGAAGAAATAATGCATAAATTTAATATAATAACACAATAAATTTTTAATTTGTAATCCTTAACCGAATAAAATTGAATTACCTTAAAATTTTTTTCTAATTTAATTAATGAAAACATGTGAAAATATTTCATTCAAACTAAGCCATTCTGAGCAAACTGTTCTGTGAAAAGAATAGCATTTATTCCATTATTCAGAATGAAGTATTGTTTAAAAATGTATTCTTTTCATATACATAGGACTCTGAAGTACTGCAGAGAAAGAAAATATATATATTTATATGTATATTTACATCTGATTGTGTCAAAACCCATTGAACTGAATGGTAAATTACCCAATGTTTTGGTCACCACATAGGGATCGCGAGTGATTCAGAGCAGGGTATGGGGAAACCATTTGGGGCCACTCCATCTCACTTCCTATCTCCATGATATATTTAAGCCTTATTGAGGGCCGGCGCTAGATATCTTACCGCCCAATGCAGTCTCTGTGGGTCCTAAATTCAGCAACTCAATGTGGGTATACGAGCAATAGTGCTGGTTCTGTGTTTATAATTAAATAAGAATAATATTCTTAATTCAAATAGCCCTAAATGTAATCTTTGGGTCTATGAGTATCATCAACAAAATCTATTTTTAGCATACGGAAAGAAATGTTTGGTAAATTTTTCATCGTCAACATTTCTTAGCGCATTTAACTTAAATCTGTAATCATCGCCAAGCGTAATGTTAACGTAAAAGGTTACCACACTCCTTTATTATTCAATTAATAACGTAAAAAAATTGTTTAGGCATCGCTACATGAGTCATTTCTCAATTTGTCATGTTTTGATAAACATGCAGTGATGAAAGGAAAGTATAATAAATAATGATTCGCCAGGTTGGTGTCAGATCAGCTATGTATCTATGTGGAATGCTTCGGTTTGAGACATATGCCAAGCAGATATGCAGTAATGGAGCCAAATTACTTATCGTACAAATTTATGCTAAAATGATTGTTTCTTCAATAACAAGGTATTTTATTTAGTGTCGAAGTGAAATTGAGAATCGGGACTCTCCAGATGTTTCATTATGCATGGAGGGGGGGGAATCAAATGTGCATGCATAAAGCCTACGAGAAAACATTGTTGTGTATTTTGAGGTCCGGATTTTAGATCATTCCACATAATGGATGTCCAGATTTTGGACTTTGTACTGCACATAAATAAAATCTTCTTTAAAACTCAGATAAAGTGCCTTTAACACAGTGATAAACTTAATATTTTCAGAAGCATGAAAAGACTTAAATTCAATATAATCTAGTGGGAAAACGGAAAAGAATAAAAAAAGTCATAAATAAATTTGTGTTTATCAATTTACAGTGCTGATTATACAATTTATATGATTGTCACTCAGCATCAGTTAAATCTACCTCATATTAATACTGAAACTCAGTTCCGGGTTTTCTTTAGATTACTTGGATTACAAGAAAGCAAGTGAGGACTATTTGTCTAAGAGAGCTGTCATTATGGAGAACCTTTTAAAAGAAACTGACTTACAGTTATATTGCATATGAGAAAAACATGAAAACTTCCATGCAGCCAGTAAGTTTGCTTGTTGAACTACCCATGTTTAAAGATTGCTGATGAGCCTGTAAATTCCATGTTAGGCTACTAGAACGTAGTGAAGCACATGAAGGGCTATCTATGTGAGGCGAGGAGTACCTTCATGGAGGACATCCTGAGAGAAACTTGCTCATATTCATATTATACACAGAGAAAAAAACAACAACAAGTTTGGCAATCTTAACTATTTAGTCAGTAGTGAGTCTTCAGTTCCAGGGAGATGCATTAATTATAATAAATAGAAACAAATGGGAAAAAATATGTGCCAAATTCTAAAAGTATGCACGATAGGACCAAATATTACAGGTCAAGAATTTATTATTCTCCCGATGACAAGAAATATAACATTTTCACAGATGTTGCAGAATTTTTCATTAATATAAAAAAAAAAAGATTTTATATGTTTCACCCATTATATTTATTTGTTATGTATATGAAAATGAAAACACATGACAAGAAATATAATATTTTTACAGATGTTGCAGAATTTTTCATTAATATATATAAAAAAAGATTTTATATGTTTCACCCATTATATGTATTTGTTATGTATATGAAAATGAAAACATAAATACAACAACAATGGTAAGTTATTTAGTCTTTTAAGTTCATTGAAATAGTTCCTTCCCTATGCCACTTGTGTACGCACTGAATCGATTTTAGACACAAAGTTTCACACTTTAGCTATATTTACTGACAACGCACTTCCATAAACTAAAATACTATCTGCTTAGGCACATATATGCAGCTCCTATTGTAATAAACAGTAATTTTATTTTTGAAACATCATTTCAACTTGAAATGAAAACCATGCTATGCTACGACTTGCTTTTTGAATAATCAGTAGTTTTATTTTTATATTCTTGTATAGTAATTTTAAACAATTTCATACTATATAAGATTTCTGCAAACTTGGCAGTATTACTTTTAGAACAAGTAAGGGCTATCAGTATGGCAGAAAAGACAAATATTTTAGCAACATACTGCATTGATGACACATCTCAAATGATGCTGATATGCACTATGAGTATGCTCAGTTGCAACATACATTTCAAGAAACAAAACACATTTAATGATCCAATTTATATTTAATAGATTAAGTTATTTAAGGCAAGCTTTTTTCCCCCCTCAAATATCGGTCCTTACATTAATTGTAGAAAAAAAGTAAACTCTCTCTTTTTTTTAAATGCAAAAACTTTGCTGAATTGACAATTTATTTTAAATATTTTTTGTATACCAAACTATAATTTCTGTATGGAGCATTCTTTTCTGTAAAACTTATTTTAAAGCTAAAAAAAAAAAATGATTAGTTCTGTTTTTCAAATCACTCTACATTATTTGCCACTCAATAGAAGAATTTCTTCTTTATGATAAATATCACTATGTCTTCTTTCTTTTCAATTAACTCCTAATAAATTAGTTGACAAATGTATTCAGAATTGAAGGGAGGGTGATAAGAAACCAGAAGAAAATATTAACTTTATGCCTCAGAAAATAATGTTCAGTATATTATACAAAAAATTATATTTTATATGTCAAAGAAGCATACTTTTTCTGAATAGAGCACAAAAGCATCAAAAATCATTTATTTATACAAAGTAGCATGAAGGCAACTGACACCTCATTTGAATACTGTGGCAAGTAACAGCTTCTCACAGTTGACAGGAGGAACGATGATAGAGGAGTAAACACCATTTCATATAGTTTCAATGGAGCGTTCAGAGAGTCAGAAGCCTTAGGGACACATGTCTTTCAGGTGTTCCTCAAATTCATTTTCCTTGTTTTCAAGATGAACAGTTTACGAAAAAAAAAAAGGGCTTAGGGTGATTTGGGAGCCCTCTTAAATCCGGGCTTTGTATGCTTAATCAGTTATCAGGATTTCTTAATGAGGACTAATGCAGGCACATGTACGACAGCTTTCACACACACTTATCAGAATGCATCAATGTAAAGAGGCTATCTTCCTGATGCAATTTGTAAAAAATAAGATTATAATAGGTGGATAACAAATAGTACACTTGGATGTATAATAACAGTTTTATTTCTTTGCCTCTATTTCCATACTGTTATTCTGATAATTTAAAATGTGTATGCTGGCTCTGCACCACGCCAAAATATCCAGATTGATTATTAAATGTAATAGCATCGTTAAATTATTTGAAACATCATATTCAAAATCCATTTTGTTCCTTTTAAAATGACATAAACACTTTGTGGCTTTTGGTACATAAACTTGAGGCTGCTCAATTCTCCTAAATTCTAATATCCCCCCCCTACACAAAATAATAAATGTAAATTGTAATAAAAAAAAGTTTTTAATTCACCTCTATATCAGATATGGCAGATTTCAAAGTGCAAGACCAGTTGACTAAGCGATTAGCTCGATAAATTAGGCCATCTTCGTGTAATCTGACAAAAGCTTCTGTAACAGCATGGCACATTTTCTGAAAATTAGGAGAGTCCAAATGATTTTTTTTGAAGATTTTATTATGTATATATCAATATATAATACTTGGAATATAATACTTGGAGAAATATAAATTTTTTATACTTCTATAAAAATTAAAATTGATTATAAAAGCTACATTATATTTATTACATTCAGCATTCTAAAATCATTTGACCAATGTATAATCAATGGAATCGAATAATAAAACAGACACAGAAAAAAGGATTGGTAATACAGAGCTAAAGACTTGTTAAGAAATTAAAAGTTATATGTTACATAACACGGCAGATCTTCTCTTTTATGAAACTAAAAATATAAATTCTATAGATTAAGAGTGAAATATCCTCATGGAATAAAATTAATTATACATCCAAGATCCTAAAATTAATTGATATTAGAGACTGGATTTTTTTTTTTTTTTGATATAGTAATTTACACAAAGCACCTAGAATAAGGATGTTTTCATTAAGAATTTTCTATCAAACTAAACTGGATAATTTTATGATGGTAAAACACATTAGGGCTATATGCCTAAGAAATGCCTTTGTGAAAGATTTCTAGAGTAAACTGATTTATACTCAAATTAGTACTTGTAAATGGAGATAATCATGAAAACACTCATGCAGCAAACCAACTCACTGAGATTCAAACTCAGATCAGACTAGCGGCATTCAGCTATCTTATCTAGTTGACCATTCAGAGATCAGATTTTCTATGAATGACTCCTATTTATATTACACATGTCAGAAACAATGAAATCTTATACTACCTATTTAACCATAAAAATTAAATTAGTGATAAAATCAGAAATGTGTTGCTTTAGCCAATAAAGAATTGTATACAAAGCAAATGATTAAACAAGAAAATAAAACATCAGACACAGGTCACTTAGAAAACATTTCAGTTCAATAAACTAATTGTCTCCTATTTACACTGAAATATGACATGATTTTATTCCATTGAAGATATGTGGGAACACAGTTCCTTGAATATTTCACATTTCATGATGACTCAATATATGGCAAAGCATGCCAAAGCAGATAACAAAATTTCTCGATATACAAGAATTGCATTTTTAATTCAGACAGGAATTCAGAGCTTTGTGAGTTAAGTCAGCCCTCTGTAAATGAATAAGTATTTAATTACAATTATCAGAGCTATATCTAAAAAATAAAATAATTTAAATGCAAAGGGTTATAGCATAAAACAGAATTTTAAATTAATTACATCATTTCCAGTATTTATTCTCAAATAATTCTAGTATGCATAATCCAGAATGTACAAGTATTTTCTGTAAAGCTAGTAATCAAATGAAAACCTACATATAAAAACCAATAAAAATAAAGACTGGATAACAAAATAAATTCAACAGAGAGATATGAAGGAGTAAGAAAAAAATATTTTGTACACTCATGAAAAAAGAAAGTTCAACTTAAATGATTCACATGATTTTACATGATCAAAAGTTTCCATAATCAAAAATAACAATTGATACCAGAATACTTTTTCAAAGATGATAAGGGCAGATAGACAATTACATAGGGGAAGAATTTCAGTTTAGAGCTTTTAAACAGGAAGATGTATATTGAAAATTATTAATCATGATGATTGCATTTTTACTTTTAAAACTGATTACAGCTGAATTCAAAAGATTATATAATAGATGAAACCATAATACCAATAAATTGCTTGAAAGATAAAAATATCAAACTTAAAAGAGCTATTAAACTTTTTGTATCAAATAAAGAATTTATACAGATTACTAGTGAAAACTGTATACAATACCTGACTAAAACTTGAAAAAATAAATTCAGAATAAATCACAAAGCTGTAATTCTTAATAAATTATTAAGAATTTTGAAGGCAATAAAAGAATATCAAAACCAGTAACATTGAAGAAATATGGAAACAAAGAAATAAAGCTGGAAATATTATTATTTTTTTTATGAAAACAAAAATAAATAAACTAACTATTTTACATCTGCAGTTCTTTAATATGTAAATATTTCAGCTAAATGGAAACACACTTCAATAACCATTTTAATTATGCATTAAGAATATCTTTAATTTCACAAATAAAATCTGTAGTTTCTATCCTTGATGTTAATATTTTTATGTACTACATAAAAAATAAAACCTTTATTATAAAGGGATTTTCAAACAAATTAAATGTTTTGAAAGTAAAATGATATCCAACAAATTTTACTTACAGAATCCATTGTAAAAGTAGCTCTTTCCCAATCAACTGAACAACCAAGCAACCTCAGTTGCTCATAAATTCTATCACCTTTCCTAAAATAACAAACTTAACATAAAACATCATTATTTTTAATAACAATTTTATAACAGATGAAAACATCACACGAAATATGACAAATGGACTTTATTTTCAATTATTATTTTTATTTTAAATTACAAGTTTTAATTCATTCTACAGGGTTCGTACACATTTCCTTACATGAAAATTAAGGACTTTTAAGGACCATCAAAGAAAAAATTAAGGACCTATCAGCAAACAAAAAAAATGAATAGAATAAAGCAATTATCCATACAACCGACTTCATGCTTGTAATTTCACTTTAAGAAACTAACAGAAGTGTGTATTATGCACTATTATTAAATTCAATTTAAATACTTACCATCAAACAATTTTTAAAAATTAAACTAACTGCCTACAAGTTATGAAGTAGATAACATAATTAGGAAATAATTTCTTAAAAAACATGTATAAGTGTATTTTTCACTAATAACAGTCACATTTTAGAATTTACATGATTATTATTTAACTTATTTGATATTTATTAAACACAGTCAACTACTATTATAATCCCAATGTAAGAATATTTTGCAGATTAAAATAACAGATTGTAAACAATACAAATTTTTCCTTGGTTTTTTTTTGAAAGATACTAGAATAATAAATGTACTAAAAGATACAAAACATTTGTACGTTTTTAAATCTGAAATCTTTTCAGCTATTTTAACATCTAATTTATTTATGTCTATTTCCTTTCTTTAACTATTCTTCTAAGTTCTTTGCTTTGATAAACAATCAATGTTCCTGCTGGCTCAGCTTCATCTGCTAAGCATCTACTTCTTCATTAATATCTTTAATGTCCCCTTGAAGAATTTTTTTTTTCTTCTTATATCAATATTTCTCAATATATTTCTTTTCCTGTTTGAATTTTCAGTTAGTTAAATTTTTGTTCTTCTAAATACTGAACTTCTAAATAACGAATCCACTTCTTGCAGAAGCTGCTGCTGATCTCATTTCTTTATTAATTTCGATATTAACAACACTCCAGAAATTTTATGTAATCAAATACTGTGCATTGAAAAATGTATGATGAGTCACTTAAATTTTCAATTTCAATGCTTTATTTACAGAAAAGCCCTTTCCACGAGCCTGTCATGTGACAAGAAGAATACTTGTCACAGTGAATATGAGTGAAATACTTGAGTCACAGTGAATACTTTAGTGAAAATATATATTTTATAAATATATATATAAATAATTTCCTAAACAATATTGATTCTTGATTATATTATCTCCTAAAGTTAATTAAAGTAGAATATTTTAAAAGAGTGAATCCATACTGGCTAAGTATATTTGAAGATGTATATATACAGTACAAAGTCCGAGATCCGACATCCATATCGGAATGATCTAAAAATCCGGACCTCAAAGCCACACCAACCATTTTAGGGCTTTTATAAGGAAAGGGGTATGCTTTACACCGCGCTTAGATTTTTTTCCTATCATAAAAAAAACAAGTCGGAATCACGATTCTTAATCTCCTTGGCATAAATAAAAATCCTTATTAGAAGAAATAATTATTTAGGCATAAATTTGTGTGATTAGTAACCTTGAATCCATAGCTCGTATCTGCTTGCAAATCTCAAACCGAAACATTTGTAATTTTACACCAACTAATATTTTATATCCTTGAGCCGAAATCGCGAATCTATTTATTGTATTGCTTCATCCCGCATGTTTATAAACGGATGACAATTGAGTGATGAATCATGCAGCGCGCAAATAACAGATATTATCGATACAGATTAGTTTAATGCGCTAAAATGTTGACAATAGGAGATTGTAGCAGAAAGTCTTTCCTTATGCTCAAAATATTTTGTTAATGATACTCATAGACAAACGATTATATTTAGTGCTATTTGAATAGAAAACGCTTGTATCACATAAAGCCAGAACCACGCCAGTCTCGCTGGCTCACAGGCGGCTGAATTTAGCTGAATAAACAGAAGTTTTCACTGCGATGATAATGCCCAATCATCATAGTTAACGGAGGGCGAAATCTGTAGTATGATCTAATCAGAAAATACAGCTACGATAGTGAAGAGTAACAGAGAGGTTTGACGAGAAAATTTTGATTGAAATTTATTCGGAATTCTCACACAGCAATTACAGGATTTGAACATGGAACTAATAACTGCACAAGAAATTATATGTCTATAGTATTAGTCTAAGTATAGCAGAGAAAACAAATCAAACACTCCTTGAAAGAAATGTTTATAAAGTAACATATCAAGATTAAGCTCTTTTCTTTGAAATTGATACCTTACATCATAAATGCTTCATTCTTTCAGAATCACGATTTCATCTTTTCAATTTTGATTCTACGTGCATCTATTAGATTTAAATGATCTAATATCGGAAAATTCAAATCTGGGATCGCCGAAGTCCCAACGAGTCCAGACTCGACTCTGTACTGTATATATATATAATAATACGGAATGCATCTTTCAGTTAACTTCTACCACTAACTTCGAATTCATGAAGTTAATTTTGTGTCTAGTTAATTCAGGAAAATTAGTTTATATTGTTTTCAGCTTTAAAATATTAAAATTTTTAATTAGTTAGTATTTTCACTAATAATGTGTCGCCATTAGCAAAAATTAGCATTAATATCAAAAACTCAGTTTAAACCAATACTTAATTGTCCTTTGAGCTTCAAACATTCGAACTTCACTTTTTCTCAGTTAGCGTTACCGAATTGACCTTGGCGACCTAAAATGAATGGCGCCAACAGATTTCCCGCGAATCGCTAAAAGCCCCTCTGCAGAAATAAACTCATAATCCCGATATCCCATACATATAGTATGTGCAAAAGAGAATAAACCGTAGAGGTGATAAAATTTTTGGCTTAATTGAAACAAACACGAAATAAGCTAAGTAAAACCATGTAAAAACAAATTGAAATGATAAATGAAACTTAATTTTCATGTGAATTTTCAGCGCTGACTCTCCCATTCTAGAAATTTCAATATGTTTCAGACAAAGACCACATTTAGGATTGCCCTCATATCCAGTCTTTGTAATCAGCTTGATGAAGCCACAGTTTATTGAAAATGCACTTTCCAGGCATCTCGTCCTATTGGCGTTGAAGGTTGTGCCTTCCAGGTTGGGATTGCTCTAATTTTGGCAAATATTTTCAGAATCCCCGCTTTTTTTTTCCCCGACCATTCATCATCACTTTCGCCTCTTAAAGAACTTCCGCGTCATGCTGTCGTCACAATCTGCCTAAATTTATGGATAACACCTGTTCGAAAGATTGGTGAATAGCCAATAAGACACCGATAACTTTCATTCGAGTAGCTAATTTTTTTTTTTTTTTTTTTTTTTTTTTTTTTTTTTTTTTTTTTTTTTTTTATCGTTTTGCAACGCAAATCGGCCAACAGATTGGTTAAGAGCCGTGTAATTTAATTCCATATTCATGAGAAATCGTAATTCAACTTAGAATGGCAATCATTAGAAATGATAAGAAATTTCAAATGAAAAATTAAGGACTGTTTATTCAGTTTGGCCAAAATTAAGGACTTTTAAGGACCAAAAATCATTTTTGAAAAAATTAAGGACTTTTAAGGACCGTACGAACCCTGTTCTATTTTAAATCATTCCTTACTTTGATTTTTCTTTAATTATGAAGCTCTCCTCTTGGAAAACAAATTAATAGAATACTAATTGTGGCAGACTTTTAATGCCACAGTTAAATGAAATGTCTTCTAAATCTAAAAACATGGCATTTTGATGGGAATTAATACATATTAAAAGCCCATGCTCTTTTGCACACTGAATTTTTTAAAATGTAGATGTGACATACTAGTCAACACTAACATTTTAAATAAATAATCAATAATTCTAAACTCATCCAGGATATAAGTTTATCCTTTATTTTTTACTGAGTCATGAGCCAGTCCTTACAGAAATGCATAATAGAATACTATAAAAAAAATCCAACACGAAACGTTTTTTAGAACCCTTTAGAATTCACCTAATTTTCTATAAACTAGGCAAGAGAAGTTCTACAGAATTCTATAAATTTTTAGATACAGCTTCCATAGAGTTAGAGAGATAGGTGCACATATTTTATAGAGACTTATGTAGAAATTTTATAAAAATTTGTGCAGTTTTCAAAGAGCCCTTAGGTCTTTCAATCTACTATTTAGATAGAATTCTACAGAAGCTTATCAAATTCAATTTACAAACCATAACTCTGAAGAATTCTGGGCCATAACTCTGAAGAATTCTAAACTAATTTCTTTATTTCCTATAAAGGATCTTATAGAAGCTTTTGATTTTTAAAATCATTATACAATCAACAAAATTTTCTTTTGGAATGAAAAAAAAAAAGGATTAAATTTTCATAGAATATGTTGACCTGAATTTCAAAGTGCTCTTTAACATGGATGGGGGGACAAAAATTTTGGAAAGATGTGACTGTTTTTCTAATAAAAAATTTCAATGTTACTTGGATTTCAAAAAATATTTAAATTACAATAAATACATTTAAAATAACAACTGCATTTAATTACAATTAATAAATCATTTCTCTTATGAAAGGTTCTTATAAAATAATAAACATTAAATTCAGGAATTAAAATTTTATAATTAACAGCATAATTTAACTTTTTAATAACTAATTTTAAAAAAAAATAATTTTATGCTTTTATAAGATTTAATTTCTGTACAATATAATCAATACTGTACTTGAAATTGCACAAAATTTTACATAAGTTAAGAAGTTAAAAAATATTAAAGGAGGAAAAAGGCACAAATTTCCATTTAAAAAAATTCAAAGCTTACAAATAGTGTTTACTTTTGTTCTTCTATATATATATAACAACAGGAATTAAAATATTTGCTTTGATTAAAGTTTGAAAACTTTGCAGATTTATATATAGGTTATTTTATTGATATTAAATTGTAAAAAGAATGAGTTAAAAATGTATCTGGAATTGAGAGAGTTTTTGTTATAGTTTGGTAAAAGGTGGTAAGATTTCTTATCACTGATTTTTTTTTAATAAAGTTTTCTTTTTGTATATTGCCATAATGTGTTTTTGTTAGAAGTGGATGATTCTTCTGAGAATGTTATTTATATGTTATTTATATGCCAATCTTAAAACCAACATTTGGTAGCAAAGTGTGGTTGCCCCCCTCTGTTAATAACTTTCAGATTGAACATTGATGTTATTTAGGCTTACAAAATCGCCAATTTCTCTAAGAGATAATTAGACTTGTATTATAATTAGTGATATAATTAGAAAATATGGCATATATAAATTTAGTCGATAGAAATTAAGTGACGATAATTTTCTTATATGGGCAAATAGAACTGAAAGTGAATTAAGAAGTTTAAAAAATGGAGAAGTTGATAGAAGCTACGAACCACCAAAACCATATAAAAGGATATGTTATTTCCAAAATATATTAAAAAATATGGAAAGGTGATAGAACTGACGAACCACCAAACCCATAAAAAGGATGTGTTATTTCCAAAATGAAATAAAAAACTTGGGAAATATGGGATATAATAATGAGATAGAAAAAATATAAAATCAAACTATGACAGCTCCACAAGCGTTAAAATATGCTAATTAAAAACACAAGGAAGTATGGGAGAAAATAAAAAATGAAATGGCGCAAGACAAGACATTCATCAATGTAGAACAGAATAAGCTCAACTGAAATGAGTCAAAGAATCATGATGATTGTATGAATAGAGATGTAATTCTGAAAAGTAAAAGTATTCAATTTGGAGATGAAATAAGAGATAGAATTAATTTACTTCCTACTAAAGGACTTAGGAAGGAATTTGAATTTTGATGTTAAAATTATAAAAGAAGATCTAGCTTCAATTAGACAACTTAAAAGAAACAGAAGCAAAAAATAAACAAAGAGGAAAGAAATGAAGTAAGTTCTAAGCAAAAGAAAACTGGATAAAACGAAATAAAGAAGATGCTTTAATTGTGGAAAATTAGGACAGTTAATAAAAGATGTCAAAATAATAATAATAGTATAAGAGTGCTTTGCTGAAAAATTTGGCCACAAATCAACTGAATGTAAATGAAACTAACAAGAAATTGAAAGCGAGAATTTAACAATGAAACTTATAGAATGTCAAGCAAGGAGAGAATATGAATCAGCTACATGCTTATTTGAAGTATCTAAGACAATAGAAAGCTCATATCTTAATCAGATAGAAATGATAAAAGATAAAATAAATGAACAAGAGAATACAAAAATTAAATGGATTAATTAATTCAGGAGCCACACTCACATGGCAACTAGTAAAGAAATATTTACTAATTTTAAGATGAAATAAGACACAAAAATGACAGCTGAAAGGGGCCATGATCAATCAGTTGGTACTGGTACATTAAAATGCAACTGATAGAAATATGAACATTTTGAGAGTAGAAATTTCGCAGTACCGAATTTAAGTGAATCTGTTGTCAGTATCAAAAATTGTAGATCATGATTCAAAGTAATTTTTAAACCAAACATAAAGCAAAAGTGATCAATACATGGAACCATTCTATATATAGCTAAACAGAAATGAAAATATTTGAAGTGAAGGAAATATTGTTGAAGAGTAAATTAGTTAGTTAATTAGTTATTCTATGCATCTAGACTAGGTCATAATTATCAAAGGCTGATAAAAATGAAAAAACACTCATCATCATTGGATTAGAAAATGTAAAAATTTTTTCAAAACATTGTGAACCTTGTACATTAGGAAAATTAAACAACATCTCATAAAGTGTAAATTTAAGCATCTGAAGATATTTTAGATTATCGCACATGATTTAGTGACGACTGAGAAATCAATAGAGGAAGCTGTTATCTTTTAACAGTGTATCATGATTACAGTAATTTCATATTTGTGATAACAATTGAGAGAAGAGTGAAACTTCAGAAGCTCTAATCAAACTTATCATTCAAGAAAAAGACAACAGGAAGAAACTAAAAGAATTCGTAGTGATAATGGTTTAGCTACAAGTATAAAAGAGTTTTTTGAAAAAATGGAAATTAAACATGAACTTACAACCCCTTATACTCCGGAAAGTAATGGAAAAGCTGAACGTTTTAATTGTACTATAATTCAATCTGCTAGAACTATGTTAATTGATGCAGAATTACTGACAAATTTTGGTCTGAAAGCGTTAAAGTAGCCGTACATGTGAATAACAGGAGTCACAAAAATAATAAAAGGTTTACACCATATGAATTATATAAAGGATGCAAGCCTAACATTACTTATCTTAAAAGATTTGGATGTGTAGCGTATGTTCATATAAGAAGAGAAAAACGTAGGAAGATTGATCTAAAAGCTCAAAAAGGAATTATGATAGGCTATAGCATGAAGAGAAACACATACAAAATTTATATCCCTGAGCTAAATAAAATTCAAGAAGTGAGAGATGTAAAATTTGATGAACAGAAACTTGGATCGCTTTACTAAAAGAATTAGTTAAAATTCGATAAAATCAAATATTAGAAGAACTTATTATTTTGTATAAGGACAAACTAATGGAAATGTAAACATTCAGAAATAACTGACAGAACTATAGAGAAGATATACAACAGATGAAGAAGCTGAAAATTTTGCCATCCAACAGTGATGATGAATACGACGATAACAATTCATTGGAAAAGCGAACTGATATCCACAAATAAATGAAGAACCTGAAAATGATAGTCATGGAAATTCTACACAGAAAAGACCTGCGCGAATGACGAATCGCCTAGAAGATCATGTAGTGTACAACACAACTGAAGAATTACCTAAGACGTATGATGAAGCTGTAGAATCTGCTGAAAGTGAATTCTGGCTACATGCAACGACAGAAGAACTGAGTTCAATGGAGGCTAATGAAGTCTGGGAATTAGTTGAAAGACACATCGAGAAGAAAGTTATTAAAAACCGCTGGATATTCTCAAAAAGAGATGAAAATGGTAATTTAGAAACAATTTACAAAGCAAGACTAGTAGCAAACGTATTTAATCAAAGAAAAGGAATTGATTACGAAGATGGATTTAGCCCAGTAATGAGACTTGCAACCTTTAGAACATTGCTATAAGATTTTTCAATGTAAAAATTGCATATTTAAATGGATACTTGGATGCATATTTAAATGGACACTTGGATAAACCAATTTACATGGAACAACCACCTAAATTTATATCAGATTCGAACAAAGTATATCTTGAAAACAAAAGCATATATGGATTACCACAATCAGGAAAATGCTGGTATGATGAATTATTGTAAATTCTAGAAAAGAATTTAACTAGACTAATTCAGATCCAGGTGTTTATATTTATAAGATAAATCACTATCTTATCATAGCAGTATATGTGATACTTAATGGTGATTGGAAATTCAAATTCGAGATAAATGACAATCATCCTCCCTATTTAAATCGTCATATTATAGAAGTCACTAAAATCAAACATTTTTAGAATACATCCATCAAGAATGGTAAACTTATACTCATAGAAAACTATATACTAAAATCTTAAAAAACTTTGAAACTGATTTACACCTGTCAAGACCCAGGAATATTGGGTGAAAATCTTGACCTAGCATCTTTCGCCACCTTGTCGACAAATATCAAGATCTTAGTTATTGATTACTTAGCAACAGGCACAGAGGCCGCTTTGCGCAGTCTAGTATTTGTCAGATATAATCAGATCCCAGAGAGACACTGGGAAGCGTAAAGAGGATATTTATATATTAAAGGACACACAATCTGTATTTAAATTAAATGCTACTCAGATCAAGTTGTGTACCACCTGAAGATAAAATTATTTGGAGGCTATTTCGGTAAATAGGTTTCATAAATTGGATGCACAAACAAAACAGTTGCTCTATCTACGATGGAAGCTGATTTTTAGCATTCTGTGAATGTCATGAGTTAATGATACACCTTTTTACTTAATTGGTTCAAGATGATCTAAACAAACCAATAAATAAAACAGACTGTTGCTTCCTAGATGGTTAAAAACAAACAAATAGAGTTCAAGGCACATAACGAAATTTTCTATGTAAAGATGATATAAATGAATCAATCATTCCTCCTTTGCATATCACAAAATCAGAAGCAATATTTTAACAAAGTATCTACCTAGGGTGGAATAAGATAACTACAAGTATGAATACTTCTGATTAAAATTATATCTTTAATACAAATAAGGTGGAAATTGATAGTATTTGTTTATAAGTTAATTTTAAGTTGTAATATTTTGGCACATGATTAATTGTAAAAAGAATGAGTTACATGTACCGGAATTGAAGAGGTTTGTTATAATTTGGTAGAAGGTGGTGATTTCTTATGACTGAGTTCCTTTCTAGTTGCCTAATGTTTTTTTTAGAGTGATGATTCTTTTGAGAATGTTATTTATATGCCAATCTTAAAACCAACATTTATAAAGCTTTATAAATTTCCTAAATGATTTTGCCAAACAACATTTTTATAGAATTTTGTTCTGAGGAAGCTTTATAAAATTTTCTATAAATAAAGTTTCGAAAGAATTTCTAAAGAGCTCTTTTAGCCTTAATAAAAATTTTCTGTAAGGGAAGAATTCAATGTTGGAAGTAAAAAGAAATTATGTTTAAATAATATATGTTGTTTCATTAAAGTAAATAAATTTATCAATAATTAAAGTGTTTAAAAGCAATAGAAAAAGTAGACTTAATTTCTTTTCAGTATTTGAGTCTGTACCATTATGTGTTTATTCTAAACATATAAAAGTTTGCCTACGCATTACAGTTCATACGAAGCTTTACATACATATTTATACATTTACTTTGGACCAAATCATCATTCAAAAACATATACTCAGAGATGCTTACTCTTCCTTCCATTTCCACACTTCTTTAATAAAATTCTCTCTTCCTAAATCATGTCGTCGTTTTTGTTGCTCCTTCCACAACTTTTTCTCTACAACAACTTGGGTGGCAATTCCAGCATGATCACAACCCGGATTCCACAATGTTAGTTTGCCTCTCATTCTGTTCCTTATACAAGAGTAATTTAGAAATCAATTATTTAATAGTGCAAATTTAATAATAATCAATTGTGTTCTATTTTACATGAAATAAATTTAAAATCAGTCAAAAAAAGGTGAACAAAGATTATGAATATAATTGTATTAATTTTGAGGACAGACAGACAGACACACACACACACACACACACACACACACAAAAAGAAAAAAAGAAAAAAAAAAAAAAAAAAGAAAGAAAGATAAAAATGGCATCTCAATATAAGAAAGCTGATATAGACACCACATGAGTTGCTTGTACAGCCTATTAAATTATACCCATTTTTTGCTACATTTCATTTAAGCTTATTTCCTCAAATTTCGTTACAGATATATTTCTTATTCAATTAATTCAGTTCTCACTTCCCGGTAACGCAAAAATACATAAAAACTCAATAAAAACATTAAAAATTGTAAAATGCAGAAAAATATAAAACACTTTAATACAGTTTTAAAAAAAATCTTTACAATTAAAATTAAAGTTTCTGTTCAAAAACAAAAAATTCAGTCAGCAGGCAAGAAGGCAGATTTTTTGATGCACAAAACTGAAAGTTTACTTTTGGTTCCACTAGGCAAAAAGACACTGAAAGTATTGTATTTAATATAACATGAATGATACTCGATATAATCAAAATTCTTCTTTTGAGGCCCAAATTTCTAATTTAGTAACGAGCTTAAATGACAGATGTGATATATTATATTACCCTTCATTGAGATGCCTCAAGTAATACTGAGTGAAGAAAAATTCAATTTGAGAGGTTGGCAGTACACCAATGATAATGATACTCAACCATTTATTTCTGTGTTAGGACTTTTGTGAGATAGAAAAAAAAAAAAAAGATCTGCTGATGGTAAATCTGCATTGTTAGACGGCTATAAATTTGAAACCATGTCCAAAAGAATTATTCGATCCTGTTAGTTTATTATGTCCTACTTTGCTGATATTCAAATTATTGATGCAAAGGATGTGGAAAGAAAACATACCTTGGGAATCTGAAATCGACGCTAATACAAAAAAGTAAATAATGAGCTTGTTTTCAGAACCTCATTTGAAGGAAGTAACCATATCACGGCATTTTTCAAACGATTAAAACATACAAAACATTTCTCTGCATATGTTTTGACTAGTCTTTCAGTCTCTGCAGCAGCTGTTTACATTCAAGTGGAAATCACCGAAAATATCAAGAAACTTCATCTGCTAGAGGTCAAAGCTAAAGTGGCTTCTATAAAACCCATGACTACCCCTTGATTGGAGCTGATGGCTGTTATGGTGGGAGCTCGATTGCGCACTTCTGTTGTAGACGGGCTTCAGTGAAAAGATATTGAACAACATTATTGGGCCAATTCCACAGCTCTTTTAAGGTGGATTCAGCGTAAAGAATCTTGGACGATATTTATGAACAATAGAGTGAATGAAATAAATAGTTTAATGGATCCTCTTGCATGGAAACACCTTCCAGGAATCTAGAATCCAGCTGATTTGCCTTTGCAAAGATGTTCTGCTAGACAACTGTTACCAAGTAAATGGTGGAAGGGACCCACTTCATTTAACTGGCCCATCACAGAACAAAATTTTGATGAATATTCTAAGCCAAAGAAAAGAGAAAAAAAATCTGGTGAGCATTCTATTTGTTCTTTAAATGACTCAAATACTTGTAGCTGCAAAACAGATGTAAAGGAAAATATTGAATGCAGGCATTACGGATCAAGTTCGTATTATTATTATTTTTCGAGCTATGACAAAGTGGTGTGTTTGAGTGCTTGGATAAAAAGATTTATTTTTACTTGTCTAAATGCAAAGTCTTTGTGAATTATTGTAGAGTTATCCAACAAAGAAGTCAAAAATGCAGAAAAGAAAGTCATACTGTTAACATAAAACAAATTTTTTTCTGATCATTTAAACAAAGGAAAATTAGAATCTTTGACAACATACAAGGACCAAGAAGGAACTATTAGACTGAAAACAAAAATTGCATTTCAGAAGAATACAAAGAACTTTAGACATTCATTTGTTTTACTGGGAGAGCATCAGGCTGTCAAAAGGTTAATTATGACAGAACACCAGAAGAACTCTCATGCTGGCCCTCAAATGCTGCTGACTATTCTAAGAGAACATACCGTATTTGACAGCATATAAGACGCACCCTTATTTAGAAGGCCACATACAAGGGGAAAAAGTTTCAATAGTCTGCGCGACAACGCAGTACCACAATAACTTAAAATGTGGTTTCTTTTAGTTCTCACGTTTCGTAAAAGCCAAATAAACATCATGAATGCATACCAACAATTTATTAAGGAAAATTAACAATGGCAGCTATTTCGGTGGTGGTGAACCGAAATGCCTTGCTGCTGCTCTGTTTCCATGCACTTTGGGCGTAGTTAACACTCCTAGTTTTACTGATTTATACTTAATCTTTTGTTTCCTGTAGTCATATTTCCAAAAAACAACGTTTAAGCACATACTGACACATATACAGAGTAGCACCGATACTTACACTGGTTGATGAGTCAAGAAGTCTATGTAAAAAGGAAAGGCTCCATAGACGTAATGTGACTATCGAACCTGTTCAAACTTCGACATCAGCTTCGAGCTTTGGTGCTTTTTGGCGACAGATATATTCAAAAGTGCATCTTATATGCCGTCAAATACAGTAATTGGATTCTAAATGCAAAAAAAGTCATAAGATCTCTTTTATCAAAATATATTACTCATTTAAGATATGCAAAAAGGAATTTAACAGCACCAATTTCTGCATTACCAGAAAACCCCGTAAGGGATGCATCCATTTTTGAAATTATCGGATTTGATATGGCTGGACCTGTGTATTTAAAAGAAGAAGCAAAAGCCTGGATTTGCAAATATACATGTGCAGGGTATAGAGCTGTCCATTTTGAGCTCATTTCCTCACTGCCAGTTCAGTAGTTCTGTAGTTTCCACTGGTTTATAGCCCACAGAAGTTAACCTTCTGTAGTTTATTGTGACTTGAAACTCATTGATTGGAATGCCATTGCTCAGTACTTCATCACTAGGAAAATTCAATAGTTTTTAATCCCCCAACTGCTTGGGAGTGATTAGTTGGTTTGATGAAACAAATTCTTAGAAGAGTTTTGGGGAAATGTCTACTCTCTTTTGAAGACAATGGCATTGTGTGATGTGGCATTTGTGATTAACTCTCATCCACTTATCTGTGTTTCAGAAAAAGATTCTGAACTTATTCCTTTATCTCCCAACACCTTTTTACAAGTTTTCGGAAAATAAGGCATTCCTGATTTAGATGAGATTGATGAGCATTCCCCTAAACAGGAGATTAAAATATTGTCAACAACTAATCACTGATATATGAAAAGATTTATATCTGGATAACTGGGACTTTAAATTCAAAGGCGTGATCCAAAAAAGCATGAAAAAGTATTAAACTTGGAGACCTATTTACTTTAGAAGTGATAATGTTAAATGTACTGAGTGGCTATTGGCCATTGTTACTGAGTTATTACCTGGAAAAGACAAAGTCATTAGACTAGTATGATTGAAGACTACAAATGGGAAAACTTTTACATCCCATACAAAGAATTTTTCCATTAGAACTTTCATGCAGTTTGTTATAAGATCTAAAAAATGAAAGATTCGAACAAACTAGAGTTGAAGGGTGTTCAGTGGAAAATAGCCAAAAAGATATAAAACCTGTGAAAGAAAAATCAGGCCTACCCAAATACTAGACTTATAGACTTCATGAATACTTCAACTTTAATTTAGTACATTTATCTTTTCCTTTAAATTTCAAATTTTCAGCTTATTTTCAAAAGTTAACTCTTTAAAATTAAGTTATTCCCCAACAACTTAAGGTGGAAGAATGTTGGATTTCATATGACATGCAGTTTGTTTTTTATGTTTACTTTCATTTAATTTTATTTACTTAATGTCGTTTGGCTACTAATAATTCTTGTTAATTTTATTTCTTGGAACTGGCAAAAAAGCAACTTAACAGAATTAGCAAAAATATGTGCGTGTACTGAGTAGGAATGTTTTGTTATTTACATGAGTGGTGTATTTAATTAAGATTTAAACTTATTTACAACAATAATGAATATTTTAGAATATGTTTATTGTCCATACAGTCCCTGATACAGAGTTATATACACTTTTGAAGTGGCTATTGCAACCAAAAAGGGAGTGCACAACTACATGCTATAGCAGTCCCATATAAAAAATTTCAATGTTCTGAGGCCACTCGTTTTTCAGTTATGTGAGCTACATACATATGTACATACAGATGTCACCAAAAAATCTCTTCTGAATCCATTTTTCAATCTGTTTTGGGAAAAAGAGTCCTTTATTCTGTCCATACATACAGATGTCACACAAAAACATTGTTCAAATGAATTTGAAAACAGTCAAAATGAAAATGTTCATTTAAATTATGATACCTGAAATTTTTCTTGATTACAATATTCCTTTACATCGTACAAGGAAGTAAAAATGGTTTTGTAACAAAATTATGTGTGTAAATTCAGGAATTTTAAGAACTATAAGAAATCATATACGAGTTTTAACACATGGATGATACCTAAATGTGATCTTTCAAAAAAGAAAAACAAAATTGTAAAGTTAATTCCTAAATAAATTAAGTAGACACATACAGTGGTGGACAAAATTGAGAACACTTTTGGAAATTTTTATGTTTTTGAACTTTGTATGCTTATAGAAAATGCTACGTTTCGCAAAATGCAAACTCGTATATATCATTTTAAAGAAAATTTATTACTGATTCATACAAAACACAAATTCAATTATTTGCAATCCAAAAAGTTATATGTACTATATATAAATAAAAAACACAGTTATGATGGTTTGTAATGTCTAGCTTTCTGGCCAATCACTGTTCTTTCTGAGAACCAATCAAATGTTAGTAACTGCAGTAGAAGCTGACATCATGTTTACACTTGAAACATTCATTTTTGCTTTGTTCTGTAGAAGGAGGACCTGTTTCTTATACACTGCAATTAC